GGCATCTTCTGAATCCGGCTTGAACCTCACTGCTAAGGAACATTCTGGCTATATTTCTTTCAAGATAGGTTAGGTCTTATTGTGACCCTATAAGACAGACTATAAATCTTTAGACATTTAGTGTACCTTTGTTGTTGTTAAGTGCCGTCGAGTCGATTCTGGCCCATAGTGACCCTGTATAGGGTTTCCGAGGAGCAGCTGGTGAGCTTGAACCACTGACCTTGCAGTTCAAACAGCTTTGCAGTCTGGTGCATTTACCCACAGCGCCATACCAGGACTCTTAGTGTACTTGAAAGCTAACAATTCTGTTTCTGCTAAGCAACTTTCTTTCCCAGTATATTATATATTTATTTAACTGTTTTTACTTTATAGTGAAGAGCTCCGGAAAGAAGCAAGACAATTAAAGAGGGAACTCTTAGCAGCAAAACAAAAAAAAGTAGAAAATTCAGCAAAACAAGCAGATAAAAGAAGTGAAGGTAAGCACACTAATTTGGTTTATATTTTCAATTCCTCTTGTTCTTCCTGAGTTGAGTTTTTGGTGTTGTTTTTTACTACTCTTGTTAGACTTTTAGTCCCACTTAGGACTTCTGTCTGAGAAATAAATTCAATGTAAGCATGATCATGATCATTGTTCCTAAATAAATTCACTGAGAACTAACTGCACTTGACCCAAGGCCAAATTTAAATGTAGCCATAGCAATAACTAGATTAAAATTATACTGAGGTGGGATATTAATTTGTTTATTGCTTCCCCGTGAAAACACTTAAGAAAAGTGTTTGGGCTCTGTGCATGGGACTTATGTAAATTCATGTAAAAACGCACCAATTTGTATGTTGATGGAAATAGTATTAAATGCTTTACTTTGTTTTTATTCTTCTGTTAGGACACAAAATATCTTAAATTTTGATAGAGTTGATTGAAAGCTGATCAGAGTATCAAACTACCATTTATCTGGTAAATTTGTTCTTTACTATGTTTTATTATTATTACTGTCTGAAATTGCTTCCAAAATGAAGATGTTTAGTTTGAAACTATTTTAGCCATTAGAATGCAGTGCTCGTTTTTCACAGTATCAGTTTGGAACCTTGAATCTTTTCTTTTTGCGATAATAAATTGAATTGTTGATTTAGTAAATATGATCGGAAACTTGATTCCATTACTTTGAGTCCTGTTGCGGCACTGTGAGTTAATGTGCTAGACTGCAAAGTCTGTTTGAACTGTGAGGTTGGGAGTTCAAGCTCACAAGCTACTCCTTGGAAACCCTATAAAGGGTTGACATGGGTTGAAACTAACTCAATGGCACTTAACAACAACAATAATGTATAATAAATTTGACTTAACAAGTTTGCTTTCGGCATCTATTTTCCATAATCTCATGCTTTTATATATCAGGTACAGTCATCTTTCTCCGGCCTTTGCATATATGTTTATACAAAATTCCTTTCAGAGAAGATCTTTTATTTAAGTCTTTTTATTCATTTCTTAGCTAATAATTGTTGAATACCCCATGTCTCAAGAACTGAGCTGGGGTGGAATTTATAATAGGTGGATGGTCCTTGGCTCTGTAGTTCATGTTCCAGTAGTAGTGTTGTTATTAAGTGCCATTGAGTTAATTCCAACTCATAGTGACCTTGTATAGGACTTCCAAGAAGCAGCTGGTGGGTTTGAACTGCCAGCATTGTGGTTCTCGGTCCAGTACGGATTCTACAGTGCCACAACAGGAGTGAGGAGTGAGAAGGTTGCAAGTAAATAATTACTATACTAACTCTGTACAGTTAAGGCCTGTATTAGTTATAAACAGTGCTCACAGATTCATTTATCTCTTTGAAATGCTAAATACCATTATGTGAAAACAGGGTTTGTGTTTTGAAGAATAATTTCTTGAATTGGAAGAGGAACTTGTTTCATTCTACTTGTGGAAAACTTAATCATGTTAAAATCTTTTAATACCATAATTGGAAAGGAAATTATATTGTTGTTGCTAAGTGCCATCGAGTTGGCTCTGACCCATTGTGACCCTACATGGGGTTTCCAAGGAGAGGCTTGTGGGTTGGTACTGCTGACCTTGCGGTTCAGATTGATAGTGTGACTCAGTACATGATCCTGCAGCGCCACACTTGAAAAATATATTAGTGATTACATTTTCCATTGTAGTTTCCCTTATAGCATCTAGAATTACTTAGATTTACCATGAATCTGTATGACAATTAAAATTGGTTTACAGAAAATTGGGTCACTTAGTATCATTTTTCTTCTAGTCTCAGAATAGTCTATTTTATTTATATACATTATGTGCTGTTAATTGCCAGCAAGTCGGTTCCAACTCATAGTGACTCTGTATAGGGTTTCTGAGGAGTGGCTCATGGGTTTGAAACACCAACATTGCTGTTAGCAGCCTAGTGCTTGTCCTACAGCACCATTCCAGGACTCCATATATATATATACACATACATACACACACACAGAGACATATATATGTTGTTATTGTTAAGTGCTCTTGAGTTGGTTCTAAAGTATGTTGTTCTT